GTGGGTCTTCTAAACTGTAAAATGTCTTAACTATTCAGAGATTACTTAACTAACTTAACACTGTGATCAGAGTAAAGATTTATCATCATCCAATTTATATCAAGTCCTTATATCAGTTCCTTATTGCTCATTCTTCCCCTGTACAACCAGTATATATTGGACTTACAAAGGATAAAATTAATCAAACAAACCATGGGGGAAAAGTCACGATAGGCTTGTTTTGAAATTAAAATTAGAGTACAAAAAAGCGATGTTTGCAAGGAATAAAGTAAACAGGCATGTAAATTAAACTCAAAACGGTATAGAAATGTCAAAAAATATATTACTTTATTCAAATTTTAGTGAGAAATATCACAAAATTACCTAAAAGCGCACAGACATTTCAAGAAGGCCAGCATGTCAAAAGATTTCCAAAAGAGAAAATTAATGTAATAAAATTTCCCACTGCTCTTCCTATTCCTTTAATCCTTTGAATCGGGGAAACAGATGTTATTTTATGTGTTAAATGTATATCAAAGATCTTCAAAACACAAAAATATTTTTTCTGTTATAAAGAATTATTAGCAATTTATATGTACATATATACATACATGTTATGCCTGGGTCACATTTGCTCCGATCCATCGGCCGGCGCCTGCCCGATTGAGTGTTTTGTTCAATATTGTATTCAATTTTGAGCAAAACACTCAATCGGCCGGGTGCCGTAGAGAAAATCGGAGCAAATGTGACCAAGGCATTAGGTAGGTTATTTAGATAGTCAACCCACTAACATTTATTAACCAACCTCAATTTTTGAAGGCATAGATTGTTATAAATGTCAAATTAAAGCTTAGAGATCAACAATCTTGACTAAAAAAGCTTTTAAAATAAATGCTGTGTCGCGGAATATGCATATTGATAATTTGATATAAGTTTATACGAGTGTAATGGCTGCGATAATTTCTAATTATTTTCAGAAAATGGTGAAATTTTACCGAAGTTTTATTCCATCCGTAAATTGCAAACTTCAGTTAATGAGAAAACTCATCTGGCGTAATGGATTAACAACGCAATATTTGACAAAGTTATTACAACGACTGAACTTAACTCTTGCAGATAATCCCTTGGGAATTCTTTCCCTACTAGCATCCACACCTTCCGGACACAGGTTATTTAAAACATCTCAGATGCTCAAACAGCGCTGGCTACTGATATGCTTCATCAGCAGTCTCACTCCCCCTGCTTTCGGGGATTAAACTGAAGCAGATACGAGGAGGAGTTACCCAAAGGAGAGTTGATCAGGCTCCACCAGCATTTGATACAATGTAGCCATGCAAGATGGTAGGTCACTCTACTATACCTTGCATTTGGTGTTCATGAGCAACCGGTTTTGCTTATTAGTAATAATTATGTTATTTGTTTTTATTTGTCTGTTCCTTATTAATGGTTTATCAGTTGAAAGTTAGATGTTAATAAGGTACTTTCAAAAATATACTAAACAATGCAATTAGACAAACAGAGTATCTTATGAATTTCTTGGGGTTAGGTATAGTATAGTGTAGGTTAAAGGGGGAAATCCACATTGTAGATACAGTTAAACCATGAGACGAACATTTTAAAATGGCTAAATGCTCTTATTGAAACACAATCCCATGAATATGTATACACAAATAACAAAATAGAAAAGACCAAAAAGGTCTTAATTCGATCAGCTATAATAAACAAATCTCCAACAACCTCAACCATGATCTAACATCTAAGATGAGTGCCAAGCACCCCTTTGCATCATTCAATTGCAAAACAATTGATCATCATTCCGAGTACGAGTGAGCATACTTGTAATTAGGCTTTATGTGAATGACTTAGACTTACTTATTTGTAATCACTAAGAGAAAAGTAAAATCTCTTGTAATCTTGTAAGGCTCAAACTGATTATTACCATTCTACTTTGTGTAGTCAGGAATGTAACAATCAGACTCTCAATAGGATAACTATGTATATGATAACAATTTATGTGATAATTATCAATGAGATAATTATAATAACTATTTATGTGATAACTACTTATTGGATAGCAATCATTGACGGTTTGTAAACTTTGCAATATCATTTATAATTTCATTATTAATGTATCAAACAATCTAGTTATTAGTTCCATATATAATCTAGTTATAGGTTTATCCAAATGGATCGATAAATGATTCCCCATATGTCCAAAGACCCGATACATATACAGTAAAACCTGTGTATTCCCGCCCTTGGGCACGATTGCTCTCATCATAAACACCTGAACCTGGCAGATGAGTATTTTGTTCAACATTGAATTCAAGTTTACAAAATACCCATTGACCAGGCACTGGATTCAAGTTTACAAAATACCAATTGACCAGGCACTGGATTCAAGTTTACAAAATACCCATTGACCAGGCACTGGATTCAAGTTTACAAAATACCCATTGACCAGGCACTGGATTCAAGTTTACAAAATACCCATTGACCAGGCACTGGATTCAAGTTTATAAAATACCCATTGACCAGGCACTGGATTCAAGTTTACAAAATATCCATTGACCAGGCACTGGATTCAAGTTTACAAAATACCCATTGACCAGGCACTGGATTCAAGTTTACAAAATACCCATTGACCAGGCACTGGATTCAAGTTTACAAAATACCCATTGGCCAGGCACTGGATTCAAGTTTACAAAATACCCATTGGCCAGGCACTGGATTCAAGTTTACAAAATACCCATTGGCCAGGTACTGGTACTAAAAATGTGACCACAATGACCTTGATTTCACTAAAAAGTGTTATACTTATGGAGGTTTGATAAGCATAAGAATGTGAAGTGTTCTACTTGCAAAAGTGTTCTACTTATAGAGGTGTACCACTTTGCAGGTTCTACTGTCATACTAATTAATAAAATAATGGCAAATGATATATTGGCTGGAGAATTACTAATATCTTTGTTACTGTATCAACGATCAATGCTATCCAGATCATTTAGATGTAATGTTATTATACTCTTGGTATCCATTTTTCCTGACTTTCATGCCATAAATCAATTTTTATCATGTTTAGAGGCATGAATGAGAAGGGGCTAGGCCCCAGGGAAGGGTGTGTCTATTGATATACTTAGTCTTGCTCAAGCCCTTTGCTCAGTCCCAGCCAGAAGTCTCTTTCTTACACAGGGGAGAGGGTTTTACGAGGGATTACTAGTTAATACACATACTCATATTGATGCATGATTTTTCCAAGTAGAATGTAAAGTCAATGATGCAAAAAATTGTCTTTCAACATCTCTCTCTATACCCATAGTCACCTCTACATTTTAAACTTATTTTATAGAAAACAACATCTTGGATTTCTACAGTCTGAGGAGTGAATTTTTTATGACTGAAAGACAAACTGGTAGGCCAGAATGGGAAAAAGAAACCAAGTTAAACTCCCGGGTTAAACTACTTTATGGAGAATTGATACATACAGGGAGTATTTTCCCTACCCTTTGCATTCGTTTGACTTCACTTCTTAAAAGAGAGCTTCGTCTTCACTCTTTAAAACTAAAATAAACCTAAGAACTCACCGCGCCAATCAGTGTTCGTCGGCCAAATTTGACCGACGTTCTTTATACGGTCATTCCTTCTGACGTCATCATTGAGCCCGGAATTGACCAATGACATGCGCATATTTAATTAGAACACATTTGGCGTATGTTTCTTCAAGCTCGCTGATTGGCGGAAGGTCAGCGCGTAGGTCAAAAGTGATCAACCCAAACTGTCACCGGTACCTGTTGTGGGGGCGGGGCTACTAAATTGTAATATGGTCTCTACTAGGCACAGTGTAGTTTAACTAGACTCTGCATGCAGGGTATATTTTCCCTACAGACCTTGCATTGGTTACTTGTATGAATTTGTTAAACATGTCCCTATCTACAACTGTGGAAAAGCCAAGACAAAGTGGGCGTGGTTATCACATCCAATAGATCAGGAGAGAATATGAGATCATTCTAAACCCGGAACGCCAGATTTTGTACTGCTGATAAAGCTTTGGTAACATGGGAAAATGCTGAGAATAAATACAATTTCAAATCTAATCCAACCAACACTTGTTGTGTGCCCATTGAATGTTCCATGTGTACATACCTATTACCTATCAATTTTATGTTCAAATGTAACCTTCAGATGATGGAAATATAACAAAACAGTAAAATCCAAATTTCAAAACACTTATCTAATCTGAGCATCTACATGTATTGATTTTTTCAGTCCCATTTTTATCTGCCGAAGACTTCCAAGTAAATAAAAAATAAAAAACTCAAAATGTGAACAGTTTCCAATCCCGACCTTTGGCTCATACCATACCAGTGGTAAATCACTCTACTATACCATGCATTTGGTGTTCATGAGCAACCCATTTGGCTTTTTATTTTAGTAATGATTATGTATTTGTTTTTATTTGTCTGTTCCTTATTAATGGTTTATTGGTTGAATGTTAGATGTTAATAAGGTACTTTCAAAAATATACTAAACAAAACAATTAGACAAACAAAGTATCTTATGCATTTCTAGGTGTTAGGTATGGTAGAGTGTAAATGAATATGACAAGTTTTGCAGTAAAGGAATGCGCTCAGTGTTGCTCAATGCCAGGACAAGGGCATGTTGATAAACAATGACATCCCCGTCTCAAGTCATCTTGCAGCGCAATATTAACATTAAAATCTGTCTTATTCAAATGACACTGGGATCAGCCAGAAAATGTTCAAAAAATGTTAAAATGTTCAAATTTCAAGGTTTTTATGAGTCAATGTTAGAGAACAAAATTTGGGTCAAGAAAAAGTGTTCAAATTGAGATGTGTTCAAAGAGGGATGTTAGATATATAATAAAAAGGTTCTACAAATTAGAAAGATGCACAATGCAAAGTTTGAACTAAGATTGGTATCAATAAAATGATTGAGGACACTGGTCGACCTGCATAAAATAATATAGTAGAAATTATTAAAAATTAAAGAGACAGTCTTACCTTTAAGAACTTGCGCATGTTTTCTTTATCAACCTGGCCTTTAGTTAATCCAACCTGGTCTGTATCCTTATCTGGAGAAAGAGATACAAAAACATTCCAACATTTTCTTCGCTTTCTGTAAATGTTTTTTAAATGGAATAAATATTTTTTATATTAAATATGAACATTATTAATATTAATATATAAATGGATGCTATGATCATGATAATATATATTATTTGACTTATTACACTTATAATATTAAGCATGTTAATGCATAAATGTTAATACACAATGTTAATAGATGAGTTAATTAACATCTTCTGCGTAGATTGTTAGTAATGTATCAATCATTTGTTTATATGTAGCAGCAAACATGCAGTTTAATGTTGATTTGAAAATAAAACTGGCAAATTCATGTGACACAATTAAAATTTCAGTAAAATAAATGTGCATTTTATGAATATGTTAATGTGCAGTTTGTGCACAATGTTTTTTGTGATATTTAAAGCATATCTATTCACAGACAGCATCTCACAATCAAACTCTAAATGTAAAAAGCAATACAATTAATTTTCCAAATTATTTCACAAATAAACTGACAATGCTAAATCAGGTTTCTGGCTTTCCAATGGATGTTTAAATATTTCAACCATTGGAAAGCCTATATGAGCAGCAATAGCAGCAGCACAAATAGACAATTTCTACAATATGACACAAATCCAGACATCACATGGTCAACCATAATTTTATTTCGACTTGACCCCTCCCTCAAAATCACAAAAACTGATTTTATAAACCAAATAAAACCTTCACATAGACATTTACCCATGTGGAGTAAGTCAACCCCCTTATGTGGTGGGTGTTAAGTACTGTTTACAGAATATAAAGAGAGGGGAGGGGTGAATTACTGCTATGCAGGGCTTATTATCAAAACAAAATTAATTTGTGGTTGAGTATACATTAAATGTATTATCAAAACAAAATTAATTTGTGGTTGAGTATACATTAAATGTATTATCAAAACAAAATTAATTTGTGGTTGAGTATGTCATTAAATGTATTATCAAAACAAAATTAATTTGTGGTTGAGTATACATTAAATGTATTATCAAAACAAAATTAATTTGTGGTTGAGTATACATTAAATGTATTATCAAAACAAAATTAATTTGTGGTTGAGTATACATTAAATGTATTATCAAAACAAAATTAATTTGTGGTTGAGTATACATTAAATGTATTATCAAAACAAAATTAATTTATGGTTGAGTATACATTAAATGTATTATCAAAACAAAATTAATTTGTGGTTGAGTATACATTAAATGTATTATCAAAACAAAATTAATTTGTGGTTGAGTATACATTAAATGTATTATCAAAACAAAATAATTTGTGGTCGAGTAAACATTAAATGTATTATCAAAACAAAATTAATTTGTGGTTGAGTATACATTAAATGTATATCAAAACAAAATTAATTTGTGGTTGAGTATACATTAAATGTATATCAAAACAAAATTAATTTGTGGTTGACTATACATTAAATGTATTATCAAAACAAAATTAATTTGTGGTTGAGTATACATTAAATCTAAATGGGCAACCTAACTTAACTACCATATACAGGGACCTTATAATACCATTATAAACTATTTGTATAATATAACTAAAACTATATGCATTTTTATTTGCATTTAGTGAACTTGCTGACTTGGGACACTCCTAAGATGATAAGTTTACAGATCTACTATACCCTTGTGTTCAAATGTCATGGCAACCACATATTTCAAAATAATTTTCTAAGAAACATTAGTGCATTCTCAGTCAGTAAATAGGTGGCAAAAAGGCAGACAGAAGCAGAAAAAGTCAGGATATTTTGAGAAAAATCACAGGAATTCCGGCTTTTGCTCAATTATATCAGAGCAACTTGCGATAATTCGCCTCCGAACCCAATCAGAAGTTTCAAATTTTAATGACATATAACGCAGATTTTCAAGTCTCAGAAGATGTTTTTATGTATATATATTAACAAGTTCACAGTCTCATGGGCAGACATAAGAAAAATTATGGGCATTGGCTTTAAGTAGATAGAGGCGGAACAATTACTTATATGGTACCTTTGAGTTTTCAAAATTGACAAGAAATTACCTCACTTTTGATTTAGCATACCGCTTATGTATATGTACTGTTTGCGCAAAAAGTGGCAGACAAAAGTGGTTGGGCAAATCATGATGATCTGCTTCACTTCCTTATCTACATTCTATAACAGGGCAATGTGACATGATATATTCCCAAGGTGGCAAATGGGAATACTTTAGGTCTGCAAATGAGGACTTTATACTAATGACACTAAACTGAAATACCTAAGAGGGTTCAATTGATATGCATTTGTTATTAGTAATGCTGCAACAGTGAAACTAGTAGGAAAAGAAAATGTTATTTTTTGCGTTTTTTAAAAAAATGGTAACAAACAAAGAGGGTATATATCTTATTCAAAGATGTTTCACTTCCCTTGCCTTCACCACCTAAATTCACGACTCTGTTTATTTAACACATTAAGGTAAAAGTATATAAATCATGCGAAAATGAGGCAGTTCATTTCGGTAAGTTGGACATTATCATTGATGAATGTTTTAAGAAAGCGTACAATTTGTTCTTGTCAAATTGTCCTAATATTTTCTTATTTTCACAAAAATTGGCAAAGTTCTAAAATAACTTAGTTAGAGCTTATTATTCCCAACAATATATTATTTTTTATTTTCCCCAGATGTATATAATTGAAAAAGAAATATATGCTTCTCAATTTTTATTTCATTATTGCGACTAAATTATTTGAACTTGAGTTCAGCATGACCCAGGAATGCTAGCTGTCACATACACTTTCAGAAGCACTGACTCCTCTGTCTCTGAGTCAATAATAAGTTATAAAGAATCGTAAAAAAGCAACCTGATTCGTTTAGATTGTGTAACTATATAGAGCTAGTTGTCCTGGAATGCATCCTCCAATCACAGGGCTTCAAAATCCAGAATATATTCTTTCTTTTTACCCCCTGCGATAAGCAGTTACCATTTCCCCGATTAAGAACTCGCAATCTGATTGGCTGTCGCAACACTGCGACAGAAATCATGTGTAAGTCATTGAGCATAATTAGATCATGTGATTCAGTTAGATCGGGCGCTTCCAAATTGGTTATAGCAGGGGGAAGAAGGAGTTACGGATTCTGGACACCTGCTTAGGAGGATGCCTGGAATGATGATCACATTGTTACAGCCATGATGTAGTGGTTTGCACCAAACCACATGGTTTGTACAATATGATTGTGAACTGTTATGTTCTTCATGATAAATAATAGATAATATCCATATTTTCAGTTAATGAGGATGGGGCACAACTGGAGTAGCAATCCATTTGCAAATATTTATGTAACCTCGGAAGATTAACTTATGTAACCATATCATACAAATGAGCAAAGCTTATTAGAATCTGGATTTTTGCATTGATCAGAATTGATTAGATTTAGAGAGAGATTCTAAAGACATATTTCTGATTTCCCCAGGTTTTCAGCTGTATCGTGATGTTGCTTTTTCAAAATACGAAAATATGTGTTTGTATTGCGAAAGAAACCTTGTTCATCCAACTGATGGAATCAATATGAATATATTTTCTTATCATGCTTTATTTCTCTCAGAAATTTTGGATGAAGTATCCAATTTTCTTTCACATGTATACAATCTCAATTATTTCTTACATGTTTGTTGACTTTATTTCTCACTAATTCCACTCTTTTCCACTCTATTTTGGATTTGAAAACATGGCCATCGTGACATTTGATTCAAGATCAGATCTGATTACCTATTTACAAATATATATTGTTCCCCTTATGATATTACGTCTTATAATAGATAGCAATTATAGAATATTACTGGTTAGACTAGTCTCACCTCAAGACCGTGTGACCCCCTCCCTCTCTAAACCAGGCCTGTAGCCAGAGGGGGGGGGGAGCAGAGGGAGCAGCCCTTCCCCCCTTGGTCAGAAATTCTTTCAAAATCATGCAGGTTTTCATCATTCTGAACACTTTTCGCATGATTTGTTGCCAGAACTGTGAAAAATCTCCACCCCCTTGGCGAAACTCACCCCTTGGTAAACTGCACCCCCCCCCATGATAAATTCTGGCTACGGGCATGTACACACCACAAATTGATAAGGGGACTTGATCTAGACTTTAATGCGAGACTATAATTACATCATGCATTACATCAAAAATCATGAAATTGTATACCATGCATTATATCTATTCATTATATTATATTCTTACAATAATATTGAATATGTACCATCTAATAACAAATTGCAAAGGTTATGTTTTTCTCTGAATCTATTTAACATATTGATCACAGGCGGCAATACAAAGATGCAATCCACAGACCTTATTATTCCCTTTTATTCCCTTGTTGGATCCATTAAAACACAAACTGAAGACACGCAACATTAATATTCATATTAAAGTCCCCAGAGTGCTGTCTCTTGGTGTTTTAATATTCATTGATATCACAAGATGATAATGAGAATATCTATCACTGGTATTTCACTGAAAGTCTCAACTTTTTTACTGAAAGTCTCAATTTTGTAACATATATAAAAAACTGCTTACGCAGACTGGTTATGTAAATCGAACACTTTGAAACAGTGTAACGCTAAACATTTATGAAATTGAACACTACAATATGAAGTTCACACTCCTATTATATTCAATATAAACGTTCAGTAAGTTCAAAACTGGAATTCAAAAACAAACATATTCTGCTTATCAAATACGCAACTGGATCACTGGATGAATAATTTAATAATGAACACTTTAAACTGGATAATGTCGTGCTCACATTCAATCGTCAACACTGGCACCTTGCTGATGGGTATTTTGTTCAAACTCGAATTCAATTTTGAACAAAATACTCATCTAATGGGTGCTGGTACTGAAAATAAGTAAGTAAGGTGCTTTTCAAGTCCGTAGATGATTTTTGAATGCTATTAATGTAAGACAGTATGTAAGTAAAGATTAGTATGTTGTGCATCAATCTAAAAGCCGTGTGATCACCATGTTAGGTAAATAGCATTTGAGTAAATAGATATTACTGGAGAAAAACATGATCTTTGTAATATTTTGACATCTAGATCTACATAGGGGATTCTATTCATCTCTATATAGACACCATCCCGACTGTTTGAAATACCTAATCAATCTAGATTGTATTTAGACTACAGTTCAGAGCACAGCTTTAAAAGATGCATTTGTATATGTGATTACATAAAGAGGACTGAAGCATATTTAAAGATGTGGACGAGACTGTAAATCTAAGTCCCTTCTAGATCTATGTTAGTCCTGCGTCAATACCTAATACCCCAACCACTCTCTCTAGAGGTAGAATGGAATCAGATGGGGATATGCAGAGGTACCTGATGCCAGACTTATTTACAGAGAATAGACAATGTATAAGGAATTTGGTATTTCTACGTATTAATTGTGATAGAGCACTTTTCAAAAAAGTCGTGATTGACCACCATATAATTCAACACTACCATAGGATTCGTCTCAAATGCTCCACGAAAAATTCATTGCATAATCCATTTTGTTAATTGCTCGTTAAAACTTCTCCTATTCAAAATTAACTAAACAGAAATCTAGGAAATCAGAGGATTTAAATGAAAATAAAAAACCATCTACTAACACTATTCTAAAAAATGAGTTTCACACTTGATAATGAAAAAATTATGTAACCACCCATCTACTAAACAAAATGGATTATGTGTAGAATTAAATGCGTGACATGTGAGACAGTGCCTAAAATATGAACTCTACAACCTCGAAGCTTACCTACGAGTGGATCTAGATGATGAAAAAAAAGAAAATAAGAATATTATAAGTGATGTGCAGTTTTGACTTCAGTCTCAGTGATGATTTTAAAATTTCGAAAAAATCGAAAATCGCCAAATAGGATAGACATTGATGTAGATGTCAGAGGTCCCAGAATATATGATCTTCAGTGCTAAGCAATATACATGTACTTCTACAAGATAATATTAACATGGATATTGCAATATCATAGGACCTTGAAAAGACATCTACATTTATTTTGACTCTGAAACTTCAGAATATGAAATTTCCAGTCAATCTTAATGTCACAATCTCTGACTAAATGAATAAGATGTAAATCATTTTAAATATATAACGCAAGATGAAAAAATGACACCACATCACAGACAAAGGCAAGGTAATAAACATCTAAGTACAGTATTTGACGGTTATTCCATTTTAAATAATCAACTGTTTTGTTAAAATAGTACTTTTCTCTGCAATAACCTATTGCCTTTGACTGCAGACATACAATTTGTGAATAATGTTGGATTACAATTAATTTCCTTCCGTATCACTCATACATGTATTTTATACATATAGTCAGTGATTTCACCAGCATTTAAGCAATCAGATGCTGCATCCTGCCAAAAATGCAAAAATTATATACTACCAACTTGTTGAAATTTTGCTTACACACTGTCAAATAGATAAAAATTTGAGATATTTTTGCCAAAGCATGTTCAATTAGTGTTTGGCATTGTTTTGAGAAAAACCGGGGATTAATGTAAAATATGGTGATATGTTTGCCAAAACATGTTTATTGAGGTGTTAACCTCATGTTGAGAAACAAGCTGGGGAGATCACTGTTTGGAAATATTAAAAAATGTTAAATATTTCCTATAAATTCTCTTTTTTTAATTGAAATTTAGTATAACATACAATATTGAATCAGATTTGCAAAATCTGGTTCATGTATGTGAGTGTGTGGCTTTTGTAATATCAGGAATAAGCGAAGTGTGACACCATCACAAAGCCAAGTGTGACATCACTATTGTCAAATGTGACACCAGCACAAAGCCAAGTGTAACATCAGCACAACGCCAAGTGTGACACCATCACAAAGCCAAGTGCGACATCAGTACTATGTCAAATGTGACACCAGCATAAAGCCAAGTGTGACATCATCACTAAGCCAGATGTGACATCATCACTAAGCCAGATGTGACATCATCACAAAGCCAAATGAGACATCACTTGATTCTGGCAAGCAATATGACATTGTAATGTTGTGATATGCTTTGATAGCATGTAACAAACATTATGATGTTGTGATATTATGACTATAGTGTAATCAATGTAATGTTGTGATAATATATGATACTTGTATGTGTGATAAAGTGTTGTGATTATATCTGACACTTGTAATATCTTCAAAATGTCTTCAAAACAAATTGACAGATAGAACAAATCTGAGTAATGTCCCTTGTTGTTAAAGAAACAGTCCTACTCTAATTGAGGATATAGTTTTCGGTAGGCTTGTATCTTTAAAGCTATTTTATACCATCTGTTTTATTAGTTGAGATGCCAACATGATTGTATGAGGCATCCTCCCATATAGTCACACAGCCAAAGATATTGAGAGCTTTATAACATATGACATCAATATTATTAATATATGACATCAAAATTGTTCACATATGACATCATTATTCACAATTGACAAAAAAAAACATAACAAACATGTATTTATGAGTACCTAAGTACCCAGGAGTACCATATCCTTTCTTATAATCACAAAGGTTCATAGCATGACTGTATTAAGTGACAGAAAGGAATATGGTAAGAAACAAAAAGAAGACAGTTTAGCCAGGGGTTTCATTAGCAGCAGGCAACAGGCGATTTTCACAGGTTGTTTTCACAAAATCACCTATTGTTTTTAGGGACTTTTCAACTTTTCCATGTTAAATTTATGATTTAATTCCATTCATTTTGCCTGATGTTTTCTATTTATTTAGCCTGTCGTGAGAAATTCTAGTGAAACACCTGTTATCTGAAGAAAATGTTGATGGCTATAAGTTTTGCTTCAAGTCTCTTGGCCACTTTATCTACTTCAGCATTTGAGGAGGTGTGTAATACAGGGTTCCAAGGGCCTGTAGCTAGACTTAGCAGTAAGAGAGTAAACAAAATGAAGAACTTGTTAAAGCATCTACAAGGCCTAGAGTAGATCTCCAAGAGTCCTTTCTGCAGCCTGTTGCAATTGAGAAATGAATATAACCCTCACAAAAACAGATAAATATATGTGCTTTTCCTTGTCATGGATCCCTGTGCAACTGTTCATTGGTTATGGCTATTTTCCATAAATCTCATTTTTGCATTTTTATATAATTTGGCGTGCTCACAACATTTCTGTTTACTTTATTCCTTGCTATAGTGGATTCTAAAACACCCCCCCCCCCCTCCCTCTTGGTGTTGATATGATTTACGGGAGTGATCCATATTTTTTTAAACAATGCTTCACCTAAGAATGATGCATATTACAAGAAATTGCACATCCATCCATAGACTTTTTGTAAGGTAGAAAAAACAACTCCAACTCAATTATAAAGACATATGATTCTATGTTTCAACCAAGCAGTATTCATACATATATACCCTTGTGTGTCATACCAGCTTCATATAAGAAATCTTTTTAAAAACCGTTAAACACTGGTCAATTTTAACATTGAGACTTTTTTTAAATCAACAAGAAATTTCTAGAACCCTTGCAGTTAAAACATACCATTTTTTGTAAGCCCATAAATATAAGATTTGTGAAATCATTTAAGTTGATCAACAAGATCAAGAGTTTCAGTTTAATCCTAATAGATGGCTCTCTAAGTCATAATCAAATTTTGTATACTTTTCCAATGCTGCTACATATACACACGATCAAGATGAAGCAAGTATGTACAACAAGTTCTGCAATGTCTATGGGATTATTGGCTTGCAACCTCATAGCCCATCTCATGTTTGAATTGATTTTTTCATTTTTCTTTCCCTGATTTGAATATATAGCACTGGTATAACACACATGGGTGATCTAAGAATGTTACAATCGCAGGTTATAAAAAACACCATGTACCATGCTGAAAGGCATTATCACTCCCAAGCATCTGGCTTTTTGTTGAATCTAAAATAAATTGATGAAATTGATGGGTGCATGAAAGCAAAGAGCCCATCCAATAAGGTATCAGTAATGATAGGCTGTATTTACATATGAAAAAAACAAAAACGGCATGAATCTTTATACTTTAAGAGCTCTATGCAAACATGATCAAGGGGTTGCAAAATGCTCATGGGTATTGGATAGGGCTAAGACAAAGTCGAATCCATCATGCAGTTAATGGAATTAAAAGCTTTATTTTATACTTTGAGTTGTTAACTTTTTAATGACTCTAGTCTGCCCATGATTTTGAATGATAAAGGGGTGAACATTATAAAACCTATCAAAACGTCAAACCCTGCGATTCTTTTAATTATTATTTTTTTAGATTTGTGCATCGGTATTCACATCATTTAAAAAAAACCATGAAATCTTTTTAAAAAACAAGTCATGTAAAAAATGCTACCAATATTGCCTTTGAATTTCGTTCAACTAATTTACCCACACTGAAAAAAATTTTGCAAGTTCTATTCATATCTTCATGGGAAGTTGGCAACTCTGATTTTTCATGACCTTGTTTTCAAAAAATAATCGCATGCTCACGCTGGACAATTAGTTACTCTACATGTTATTGTTAATGGTGTTCAAAGTTCCCAAGCCTAAAATGCCATTAACTGGTAGGTCATTTTTAGAGTTTCTCTCTCAAAAGACACATCTTTCCTGACATTTACTTCATGTTTGTTGAGTTTATTTCTCACTTTTTCCACCCCTTTTTACTCTATTTTGCATTTAAAATAAACGTGATTGCATTTTGTAAAGTAGATATACATCCCCGTGCATCTATGCGTTAAACATCAAAAATAGTTTTTTAACAAACTAACAACATTTTGACAACTTAAGTTCACCTCTATTTTCAAATTACACTTACAAAAGATAGTTTTCTAAGCTGAATTTTAAAAATTCACCCCCAAAGTGTTTTGCTGAGAAAACTACCCTTATCTTTCGTAAAGACATATTTACCATTTTACAATTACACAAATCAGATACTTGTGACACCTTTGCACATCAGATCTAATGATTTAAATATAATTTGACATCTGAACTCACCTAAACCTACTCCAGTCTCAACACCTGCATCAGATTTCCTAGAACGGAAGAAATCTTTATCTGCGACGTAGGCCAAGATGACGAGTATCGGGAACATCAGAAGGGTGACGATAGCCTCCCAAAGGTCCACGTAATTAGGCGTAATAAATTTCAAAATAATCAAGAGCCATATATAGGCAAAGATACTAAAGAAGGCAGTTACGGCAAACACCTTGACTGACTTGATGGTACGGACATCGGGTGATGGGATAGTCGTAATACATACAGCAGAGATAACCAAAAGATTAAATGCTGCCGATCCAACGATTGTTCCAGGACCGAGTTCTTCAGAATAGAAATTATTTTTGATGATCCCTATAATTGATAGCAGAATCTCTGGAGCGCTGGACCCAAGGGCCATGAGGGTGAGGTTAGCGACAGTGTCATTCCAAACTTTAACTTCGATCTCCTCATACTCTCCGCCTCCTTTCTGACTAGCAACTTTAATTGTGCGTGTCTTGCTCGTGATTCTCTCGATAGCACACATAAAGATATCAGCTATAATAGCGATACCGAAAAAGCACCAAAGTAGTCCTATGACATAAATTGTTGCTCGTGCCCCCTTTGACCATGTATACTCACTCACAAAGGGTAACAAAAGACCTTTGTCTGAGCATAGATAATCACCCAAATCAATTGTACAGTTCGCCATTTTTGGCAGTTGTTTCAGATTATACTTCTAGTCCAGATTCAGCTTCCCGCAGTTCTTTTAGATACAATCAGATGATGTCTTTGTCGTATTTCCACATCACTATAAATAAAAAATAACATAAATAAATTTAATAATATTAATATGCATCAATGTTCTAGTTATTCACATACATGTACATGTAGTTGAATTTGTTTACCTTGAATAAAACAACAACAGATTCTTTAAATTAAGAAATAATTTATACTTTTATCAAATTCAAATTACTTGCAAAACTAATATTTTAGTTTTGTGGTATTTTGCATTCATCTTCCTGGTTTTTACAACGGAGTTTTAAAATCGTGCTATATATATTTAATTAATTAGGAAGTAAGATATACAAGTTACATATATGTATATTTTTACAGAAATATCTGATATAATTTATACTTTTAGCATATTTCAAATTATATTTTGTTTTGTGGTATTTTGCATTCATCTTCCTGGTTTTTACAACAGAGTTTTAAAATCGTGTGGTATACATTAATTAATAAGGAAGTAAGATAAAGACTTTTTTTATTTATTATATTTATAAAATATATCCAACAAATGATTTTTATCAAAATTGAGATTACGCATGATGATTATGTGACAAATGAATAAAATTTATCTCCAGTTTTGAATTGTATTTGATAACACAATATCAGATATTTCTATATGTTTGCATTATCTTCAAAGACATCCAACATAAGTCAATTTTTTATGAGTCAAATGGCCTTGAGATTAAAGTACAAAAACCGACACATTCCAAGATGAATTATGAACCAAGAAAACAAAACAGATGAAAACTAACTAGTAATTGTTTTTACAACATCAGAAACATATGTGAAAGACCATTCATACCTTTAACCTAAGAAACATTATTTTCAATGCTTCCAAATGACAACATGCTTGCAAATAAAACAAACTCGTGATCTCTAATTGCACTCACAATAATTTTGTGATCTCTTACTATACTCACAATAAACTTGCAATCTCTAATTGCACTCACAATATACTTGTGATCTATAACTGTACTCACAATAAACTTGTGATCTCTCACTGTACTCACAATAAACTTGGAATCTCTAATTGCACTCACAATAAACTTGTGATCTCTTACTATACTCACAATAAACTTGTGATCTCTCACTGTACTCACAATAAACTTGGAATCTCTAATTGCACTCACAATAAACTTGTGATCTCTTACTATACTCACAATAAACTTGGAATCTCTAACTGTACTCATAATAAATTTGTGATCTCTAACTGTACTCATAATAAATTTGTGATCTCTAACTGAAATCATAATAAATTTGTGATCTCTAACTGAACTCATAATAAATTTGTGATCTCTATTTAGTACTCACACAACTGGCATCAGTTCCTGACTTATCTGGGTGTAACTTTCAAGTAAGCACATCAAGCTAACTGACATATAACACAAAAATATGTTGACATACAGCCATAAATGTGTAACTCCCACTCAAATAAAACTACAGTCGGTCTATGCATACACTAACCCCTCAGAATGAATCATAAAAAGTTGCATTTATTTCCTTTTATGAATACTTAGAATTAAATCTGATGGCTATGTAGAAACGGATACAAGGTTATTCAGCCTAATTTATAAAAAATAAATTCTGAATGTGTTTATTAAGTGAAAAAAATGTAAACATTTTGAAATATTTTGGAGGGGACATTATTGCCGGTTTCTATGCTGCATAGAGCATATATATGTGATCATAAAAAATAAGCATCTACTAAAATGTAGACTGACCTTCCCTTTTAATTAATGATTTTACATCCACCTCTTTTTACATTTACTTCTATGCATTTTTGTATTTTATTTTATCATCAATGAACAGTAAAAAATCAAATTACATTCTATTTATTAAATGTAGATAAAACCATCTATTCATCCCAGTTCTACATTCAAGGTGCACACAGTATGAAATATAAATTTTTGGCAAATTATTTTATATGATGTTTCACGAATACATTGAAGGCTATATGAGGTACATACACTGCTATGCAAAAAACCTTGCCTACAGTGAAAAATACCATTTAATTATTTATGCTACATTGAAAGGCTACTCTCTCCTCATATTGTCCTATCAAATCAACTGCAACATTTAATATGGAAAAGTTGCATGAACATTATTGAACATGGGCTTTTATACAATGAAACTTGTTATAATGAACACTTCTCTCGGTACTCAATAAAAATAGGCTGCATTATCATGTCTATGTGTACATAGTATATACATGTACATGTGATCAAAATGTAGGATTTATTCAAATAAAAATGGTCTCATGTAGTGTTTATGACAGCTTAAGACTATTCAAGGACTGTAATTGTGTATGCATGTGAGATGAATATTAGATTTTTATGATTTTGTGGATGATTGTAAATCATGATGTTGCCAATATGACAATTGGAAGTATTTGCCTTCATTTTCAACATTGTTTATAATTTATCTGCTTAATTTTTGTTGTTGTCTGGATTGTTTTTTTCAATTGTTTTAGTTTAGAAAGTTAACCGTGACCTAGACTGAGATAAATAACAGCAACCGCAAAACATAATTTGTCATAAATCACTCTTCATGCCGGTTGTGAAAAAAATATAGTCTCCAGTTAGGACCTTTATATCTGAACTGTTCTAACCTAAAAACATCTAAATAAATATGAATACTTTTTTCTGTGCCATTTTTTATCTTCCATGTTTTGCTGAATTTAAAAGTGAGATGGCTTGTTAAGTAAGGCGCCATTTCAGATAGTTAAAGTCTTTCGGAAAACCTCTGGAGATTTACGTAAAATTCTGAGCAGAAACCGCCATATTGGATTTGGGCAGAAAAAACATTCACCTGACAAACAATTACAAGTCTTGGTCGACAAAGAAGAATTCTTTTTATGTTATTAGATATTTTCGTTTTTGATAGCAATATTTGCGTGTAATATTTCACTTATTTCAACCGTCAAATTCCTCCATTCAGTTCCCGGCATGCACCACTCATAAGGGAAATCCCTGGGGAATTACCCTTCCGACATTTTGAAAGTTGCTGATATATTTCCGATGTAAAAACTAAAATCTCTTCGTTCTGCCAATAAACCCATACAATTGGCGATCTAACAACATAAAAAGAATTCTAAAATACCTGGAATGTATCGAGGTAGGTCATTTAATAGTGCAATGCATTCATTCTCCGACATTGTAGAAAGACAGGCTTACTAATAATACAGGCGTACGACCACAATCTAAATTATCGCATCCTACGACCCCTTTAGATTGTGGTCGTAGGCCTGTTTCATTCGTAAGCCTGTCTTTCTACAATGTCGGAGAATGAACTACGCATTGCGCTATTAAATGACCTACCTCGATACATTCTAGAGTATTTTAAAATTCTTTTTATGTTGTTAGATCGCCAATTGTATGGGTTTATCGTCAGAACGAAGAGATTTTAGTTTTTACATCGGAAATATCTCAGCAATTTTCAAAATGTCGGAAGGGGAATTCCCCAGGGATTTCCCTTATGACTGGTGCATGCCGGGAACTGAATGGAGGAATTTGACGGTTGAACCTACACGCAAATATTGCTATCAAAAACGAAAATATCTTCGTTCTGCCGATAAACCCATACAATTTGCGATTCAACTATATGAAAAGAATTCTAAAATACTCAGGAATGTATCGAGGTAGGTCATTTATGTGTGCAATGCATAGTTCATTCTCCGACATTGTAGAAACACAGGCTTACTAATGAATCGGGCCTACGACCACAATCTAAAGGGGTCGTAGGATGCGATAAAATCTAAAGTGGTCGGTAGGATACAATAAAGGCTATTATACAGTTATACATGCCCAAACTGTCCAATTAGCGGAAGTGCAGGACTGTATAGTGGAACTGGATCAGTTTCAAATACATTTCCATGAACGTATGAAAACATTGCTTTCAACAACTGCTATGCCTTGACTAAGTGTGACACCTATCACTTTATGTTCCCCATCAATGGTTTCACTGTACTCAGCAGATTACTGAATTGATTCAACCAGAACCAACTTTTTACATGTATATTTTCATAAATTCTAGCAAATCATTCATCATCCAAAACCTTACACTGAATATAGTTCAATACTTTTCTCTTAGTAATACAAAAGTGTTGGAAATATTGCAGTAAAAATGCTAAAACTTACCGTTTTTTTTGAATAATTTATAAACTATTTCAGCAAACTCCTAGTTGTTGCTATTTACCCAAACAGTGACGGATCACCACCTAAGTGTGTCCGACTATTGCGCGTAGTAAAGAAACACCATCGTAAATTTATTGTTTTTTATCTGGTATGATAACTGTTCAAACTCACTTATATTTAAATATTGTACTGTTTTAGTCATCAAAACAAGCATAATTTACTAGACTACCATATTAAACAATGAGATCAAAGGTCAAAAAGAACTATTTAAATTAGTCCGCCTGAATAGTTGACCTACTTTCAATCAAACAACAAAGCTATTTTATTTTCCTAATTGGTTTAGTACCAAAAGTAATAAAATTCAACACATTGGTCATTGATTAATTACTGACATTGTGACCAAATAAAATCGTATTTAAATACTTACTTGCATTTTAATTTCCTATACTTGAGATAACATAACGGATTTAAGAACATATTGGTAAAATTAAAAAGATTCGAGTATTATTATGTACATAAAAATATAGCTCTGCTGTATGGCACACGTGCGGGAAGTTTTGTTTTTATTTTTACATTAGAAGAAATCCTCTTCAAATTCAAAGTTGATCTACTAAAATCGCAGGTAAAACATTTAATTGTTAGTTTCAGAAATACACTTCAATACAGAAAGTTGGACATAGAATATTACATTAATTTTTTCGGCTAAGATCTTAGAGCTTGTTTTTAATTTTTTTATGATGACGATGTCAATTGTCATTCATTCATTTTTGACTAAAATCAAAACACAAATTCTCAGGATGAGTTCATATGGTTAAAATAACGAAATAATCAAATGTTACCGTGTGTCTACTTAGCAGTTTGTTCTTTGGCTTGCACCCACCTGAAAATCAATTTGCACCAAATTGAAAATGAGAAAATCACGAGAAGTGGGCATATTTTTTCCAATTTTGGTCTGAATTTTGAAAATGAGAATTTTGCAAACAATTGAGAAAAAATACTGTGGAGAACATTTGAGTTATTTCCTTTAGAGTCTGTTAACTGTTAAAAATAATAAGAACATAACTTCGACATATGAGTGTTACCTGATGAATGGGACCCTCACGTGCTTTCCAAATGGTAGTACACGAACTCTAGTGTAACTACATCAGCTTATCTTTCTGTCCGATCAACAATAAGTACAGTTATACAAGAAATGTAAATGGAGTGGAAATATTCCGAAGGCATGTCATTCCGGAAGTTATGATACGTCATGGTGTCACTACGGTAAATCATTGAAAAATATTGAAAAAAATCACAAAATTCAAGTTCTGGTGTGAGGTTCCATATCCATCCGCTAAAAGGTATGACACTATAAAGTCCATTTACAAATTTGTGGTTTTGTTCTAAATAACGCCATAGTTGGCTTAGGGTACCTAGTATGCCACTATTTGGTATCAAAATAAAGAGGAGTTCAACTTTCATTTGAATTACGAAAATAGCAATGTAGGTCAAAATAGTTCCGGCATGAGCATGTTTACCACGCGTTTGCCCGTCATCTCAGAAATGAGGAAATGGTAGCAAACGCGAGTTACAATAAATGGACGCTGATATCTCAAAAAGTAACCTGCCTCCCTATATTTTGATGTAGATCAATCGAACCCCTATATGAACAGGTACATTTTTATATATAACACTATGGGGGGAGGTAAGCATTTTATAGTTGATCACAAACGCCATATGTGCAAAGTATTGTTCTGAATTTTCGAATTTGATGTTGGATTACGATACTCACACCTTCCTGGGTACATATTGCCAATTTGAACGAATTAGCCCATACAATGACTATATTTCTGCAATATCCTATACATAACCTTCATCTTGACACTATATTTAACATAGGGTTTGCGTCTCGATTTTTAAATATCACTACGCCAACATAGGGATTCATTTTTAGGTAAAATCCCTGCTTCAACGATGAAAATTAATGAATAAAGTAGTTCCTGTTTATGGGACCATATTCTTGAGATTTTTTTCTAAAAATGGCACATTTAGAAAGTACTTGGCCTCAGCTTTACATACATACCTCAAATGGCCATAGTGCATACACTTAAACCTACTATACACACCATTGAAGTTGGTATGGCTTCGTTTTTAACCTTTAGCGTGCTGCCGGCGAACGCGTCCGCCGAGACTAAAATGTCTATCACAACTGCCGGCGGACCCGTACGCCCAATTTCAAACTTTTAAAAACTTTACTTTTTCGCGCCATTCGTATTGTCCAATTAGATTGCCCGATTTATTCAGTGCCTAACATGACTTCCTGTTGACCTAAAAATGGCGATATTTCGAAAAATAATTCTCAATTCAACAATTTAAACAGTGTTTTAGTCGTTTTAAGTGAACAAATCGTACAAAATGGCGGACAAATACGATCACAACGAAAATGTGGAGGAAATGGACTACGATTTCGAGCTCTTTAGGCTCTTGGAAGCCGATAATGTTCATCGAAAATAGAAACTAGAATATTTTCTGAATTGAAAAATTGAACATTCGATCGCTGCAAATTCAGATTTGAATTCTGACCAGACGAAGGGGCGGAGCGGCGGATTTCGGAGGAGTATTCATGGTATATTTATGCCCAGTCATGTTATTGTACGAAAAATATTCATAAGAACATTTTCATGTCCCCACCACATAGTGTGGGGCCATATTGTCGGCCTAGGCGCGTCCGTCTGTCCGTCCGTCCGTACGTCCGGCAGTTTTCTCCAAAACCGCTACAGATATCACCTTCAAATTTTCAGGGATAACTTATGAGTGCATGCAGATGTGGATGATAAAAAATTAACTCGATACATACTTCCTGTCGGCCATTTTGAAGTCAAATGCTAAAATCCTTGTCTGCAAACTTTAAGAAAATCGGCTTCACAGTTGCTTTTAAAACTTTAACATCTTGTTCAGCTCACTTCATTCTAGATCTGATTAGGTTTTGGACCTGTTAGCTCAGTCATGTCAGCCATTTTGAATGTTTTAAGAAAAGTTAGCGCACGATAATACTTTGTATCATATTAAATGGTGTTTTTCAGTTTTCATACTTTAACTATTTAGTAGCTTTATAAATAATTTCAGGTGTACCCTATGTTAAATATAGTGTTGAGATGAATGTTATGTATAGGATATTGCAGAAATATAGTCATTGTATGGGCTAATTCGTTCGAATTGGCAATATGTACCCCAGAAGGTGTGAGTATCGTAATCCAACACCAAATTTGAAAATTCAGAACAATACTTTGCACATATGGCGTTTGTGATCAACTATAAAACGCTTACCTCCCCCCCCCCCATAGTGTTATATATCAAAATGTACCTGTTCATATAGGGGTTCGATTGATCTACATCAAATTATAGGGAGGCAGGTTACTTTTTGAGATATCAGCGTCCATTTATTGTAACTCGCGTTTGCTACCATTTCCTCATTTCTGAGATGACGGGCAAACGCGTAGTAAACATGCTCACGCCGGAACTATTTTGACCTACATCGCTATTTTCGTAATTCAAATGAAAGTTGAACTCCTCCTCTTTATTTTGATACCAAATAGTGCCATACTGGGCACCCTAGAAGCCAACTATGGCGTTATTTAGAACAAAACCACAAATTTGTAAATGGACTTTATAGTGTCATACCTTTTAGCGGATGGATATGGAACCTCACACCAAAACTTGAATTTTGTGATTTTTTCAATATTTTTCAATGATTTACCGTAGTGACACCATAACGTATCATAACTTCTGGAATGACATGCCTTTCGGAAAATCTTTGGGAATATTTTCACTTCATTTACATTTCTTGTATAACTGTACTTATTGTTGATCAGACGGAAAGATAAGCTGATGTAGTTACACTAGAGTTCGTGTACTACCATTTGGAAGGCACGTGAGGGTCCCATTCATCAGGTAACACTCATATGTCGAAGTTATGTTCTTATTATTTTTAACAGTTAACAGACTTTAGTAGTTCGGCATTGTATCAGTTTACTTGATCATACTAAACATTCGAATATTTACATGATAAGTATTTATTTTAACAGTTCTAAGCATTGAATATTTACTTGGTATTAAGCATATATTATTTACTTCATCGTGAGAAATGTTCTTGGAGTAATTGAATGAGTTACTGTCTACTTAGTGAGGGAGGTCAAGTACATGTTCAAGGCAAGGTCATCTCCTGCTTCATTTGTATTGAACCATCCGTTGCAGCGTGGACAATTGACCCTCAAGAGTTTTCCTTTATAGTCAACAACCTTTGACTCAACAGAGCACACAGGGCATTTGTACATTGCCGTTTGTAGACCTTGCAGTGATGACACTAACTGTGACGCTATGCTAGGGCCCTGCCGCTCGTATGCATCAATCTCACTTTGCTTTAAGTCGTTCAGGGTCCAGTATACATCAATAAAGTCAAGTCCAAGGATGTCAGCATTACGCACTCTGAAGAAGCCCCCATCAGCCCAATCACTGCCCCAGGAGTTCATCAGTCGCAAACATTCACTGTTGTAGCTGGTGAGAACGACTGCATGCCCACCTACTTCAGCCCCATATGGACGTTGTGTGATATCAAGATCAGATTTTGTCAGGATGCCATCTGGGTGTTCCTTATAGAATTCTGAGAATAAGTCCCATTCAGGGTCTGTGAGCCTGAACCTGACAATCACTTGGCGCTTTGCAGTGACAGCCTTCAGAGCACCAATGAGATCCATCTTTTCGCAGTGAAGTCGATATCCTGGACACATCTCTTTTAACACACGCAATGTATTGGCACCATCCTCTCCATATTTCTCAATCATCTGTTTACGAAGATCAAAGAAGTTTGGATAGCCACCTTCACGCCCTATGATTCGCTTCATGGCAAGGTGCAATACTGCTGCAGAGGCATTGGCGTAGCAGGTTCCTCCCTTTTGCCGTTTGGCCCCGAATCCTTGGTTGGCCTGGTTGATGTAGAGGTCAAGGGAGACAGAAGCGAGGATATCAGACAATGAATCCTGGCAACACACAACATTTCTTGCTAGGTCACATACATCTGCGATGATATCAGGGTGGTTCACTTGAAAGAACAGACGTGTTTCATTATTCTCTATATCAATGTTCCATCCTTGCTTTACAAATATTGTACGTGGTATCATCTGTGTTGTGATCGTGGAACTCATTTTGAACATGAAGTGTGCAGGTTTGTCCCAGCATTCAGAAGCAGTACTGTAAAGACGACGTGGATCTTCAATTGCTTGGCTGGTGATATAACAACATATTATCGTCACACCAGATTTGGATAGCTCTCGCAGAGGGGGATTATTCCCATCACCAGGCTGCCCATCAGAGAGAATAAAGAGCAGTTTATGGTGTTGCTGGAATTCAGGCTTGTTGAATAGAGATATAGATTTTTTCATTGTTTTAATCAGGGGAGTACCACCATATATAAATGGCTTTACAGTGTCCATCAGTTCATCAACACGTTGCTTAGTGAGTTCTTCCTCTTCACCTATGCACCCATGTAGTATTTCTGATGCATCGTGTACATTCATCACAGCAGCCGAGCTGATTTCAACCAGAGTACAACTATGGGCAAGTCTTATTCCTTTATCCACTGCTTCCTGGACGGCATCCCTAGTTGCAAATTCCTGGGTGCCAGGGACAAATCCACCCAAGAAGAAAAAACTTTCCTTGCCATAAGACTTAAATGAATGTTTAAATTCTTTGCATTCATCTGGCAAACATGTGTCCACAAATCTTTCTCTGAAGTCTGAACCATCTGTGAGTTTCCCTAATATGAAACTAGCTTCGTTATCTTTCACAACGCTCATCAACACATTCATCTTGGCCCATTTTCTTACTCTTGGTGCACCATTATTTTCAAGTATGGACAATATATCATCAAGTATTCTCTCTTTACTCTGACTTCTTAGCTGATGGTTAACAGAAGATGCTGATTGGGCTCTCTTTATGGTATTTAACAAGTCAAATGCCTGTGGTTCATAAGATGCCCCGAAACCTAGACCAAATACATGATTAGATGAAGAGACATCATGTTTTATCAGTCCATCTATAACTTTGAAGATAGATCGAGCCCAGCTTCCACCTTCTTCATTAACTCGCCCACCAATACTCTGCTCCATGGAGCCTGACACATCTACTAAGATACCTGTAAGGGTGGCCATTGCTAGATGAATCTGAAAGAACAAATCATATTCAAATTATTTAAGATATTGCAGTTAAATCTGTTGAATCCGAATGCTACTGAGATTTGCCAAAAGTGTTCAGATTAGCAGGTGTTCACTTTTCAATGCTCCTTAAAATATGAGTCAATGGCAAATAAATGAGAGATTGGGATAGGACATTCTTAATGTACCATTCGAAAGTTTGCTTTAGACCCCCTTGGATAGTAGTATGTATTGTATTTCGTCTCATGGAGTATGGAATCTACAAATGTACAGGGTGTCAAAAACAGCAATACCCCCTCTACAGCAAAAAGTCCTGAATGTTCCATATCGTGGCATACCTCATTTACTTTGTTTGCTGCTCTGATACTGGTTAAAGGTCAAATCTTCAGAAAGTGGAATATGAAAGAATTAGCCCAGATTTCAACCGCTGTTGTTTTTTGACACCCTGTATATAACCAGTAATAGGGATTTTGACTATATTTGACCATCTATCATTGCTCCCAGGGTCAGGACATTGACTCATAAGGTTGGAAGCGAATTTGATAGCCCAATGTTTGTTTTGTCAAAATACCTACTCCTTCCTAGGTGATGGGTTTCATGCAAACCTTTGAATTGTGCATAGCCATGAAAAAATTGTTATGATTATGCAGATCCAAGAATTTAAGTTAAAATGTATATACATGTACATTTTTAGAATAATTTTAGTATATTTCACACATCATTCTTGTTTCTATGGCAACCACGAGGTCAATCGATAAACACAAAACAATGGAAACCTCCACAGGCCATTGACAATGATCTGTGAATTTTTTTCCACACATGTCCTAAATAGAACATGTTATCAAACTTACCACAATTTGAATTTGCACTTCACTTCCTTATCATTATAAGTTGTAGTGTACAAGATCTAAGTTGTAGTAGAATCTTAGTTCTTTTCAGCGATGGAAATGATGTATAGTTTTAATGCCTAAAAACAAAGTTAGAATTTTATTTATGAGATCAGGTGACTATCAGTTTTACAATTTTCAGTATGTTTACTTCAGGGAAGTAATGTTTAACTTCCGAGAAATGGTGTTGAGTGCAAGGGCTGAACTATTTGGGAATTGACATGTTTTCAGTCCAGTCTTCATTGATTTACATAACATTGTTTTGTATTTGACTACAGTAAAACCTGTCTAATCCGAACGTCGAACTAAACATCAGAAATTTTATGAAAAAGTGTTCAGATTAGACAGGTGAATTTTTCAAATATGACTGTTCACTGTTCAAATTGGGAGGTGTTCACATTTCAAGGTTTTTGTTTGATATGGGAGTCAATGAGAGGAAAAATGGGACCGAAAAAAGTGTTCAGATTGGAAAGTGTTTGGATAAGCCAGGTGTTCAGATATACAGGTTCTACTGTATATTATTACTACATGTTTTTATGTCTTAAAAGTGGTTACATATTGTTATGTCCATTTTATAAGAATAAGAATCTGTAATGAATGATGTCTGTAACAAATAGCAGGTGGTGACATTATGCATGTTAATGCCTTGTTTGTAATCTTCATTATATGTGTACATGCAATTTTATTATGAAAAATTAATTCAATTTGAGCCATTACCACAATTCCATAACCTATTACTATTGCAGTGACATCTAAGATTAGTGGGCCATAGTGGTCATTATACACCCTCGTCCACGGCGAATAACTAGTTTGTACTCAGTTTTCGATAGGTGATGATACTACTATATCTAGTAGTAACCTCATTTCATTGGGCAACATAGTGAAATCTTGGCACTCAGGACCTCTGCCCTTAATTGGGCCAAGATTGTACTGTGTTGCCCGCTGAAATGAGTTCAGTAATAGCCTAGCCTAATAAGACTTTATTGGACTTACCACAATTTCACTTGACTTTGTAGCTCAGTAGATTCTTAGTTCGTAAAAGATTCTCAGCTCATCTTAGTGAAGAAAATGCTGCTTACTTCTACTGCCTAAAAAATGAAGTTTTAACTTCTGAGAAGTGTTTAACATAGTGAGCAGACTGTTTACAAGTTAAATGTAATACACAGTATTTATTTTTGAGGTCAGCCAACTGTCAGCTTTAGTATTTTATACTTTTATCTATGAATCAACTATACTTCAAGTAATATATTGAATGCACCCAAGGAGGATTGGCTCCCAGAATCGAAGTCGATATTTTCCAACAATGAAAACGCCGAGATGTCGTTATTTTCTGAAATTATAACCGATTATAAATTCAAAATAAACAGTTCAAAAGATTCGAACCAATATCTCTAACATTTCCTGAGAGTTTTGGAATTTTTCGTTAGGAAATAAGACCAAAATTTACGATTCAAATGTTGAAGTGAACAAAATGGCGGCTGTTGGAATTCAAATTTTGTAGCACGACATGCCCATATATGGGACAGAATATCGATGTTGCACTCTGGGAGCCAATCCTCCTTGGAATGCACCTGGGAATCCCACATGTAATTTCTCAACCATTGCAGTGACATCTATTTAAAAGTAAAAAAAATGTTGGTTGATGGACTAGCAATTTCTGGAAATGCATGAAAATGTTATTTTGAGTAATATTTTAGTGAACAAATGATGGGCCAATTTTCTATGTGTATGCTATAGGAGAGTAATCCTTGGAATCCAAAGTTATTCGAGATTTTAGACTGAAAAAATAATTAAGTGTGTCATGAGTGATATAAAGATAAAGTTTTATGTTGGATATTTGTGATGTGTCTTGCATAGAACAACCATTTGCTGCACCCACTTGAAAATCTAGAAATTGCACGCTAACCTTTGTTTGCTAAAACGATGAAATATAGTGATATTTTTACTCAAACAACTGGCATTAGGATTAAGAAAACTAGAGTTTCACTGGATAATGTATAATATTAATAGTTCAATATTGTTTTATCTCTATAGGTCATTCATGTCAAATCTGCGGACAGCCCTTGTAAGTTGGTTCACTGCACTCTAGACTGGGTGGAGGAACACGAAGAAAGCATTGACACATCAAGCAAGAGTTCCAACAGATACCAGCGTACACGTCATCTTCTTGAATTCGAGGAACTAGACAAGAAAGCAGTAAAAAGTAAGCTAGCTTTAAACTTCTAACGTCATACTCAGGGGCGGATCCAGGAACCAACAGGGGGGGGCCAAATTTCAGGTCAGAGAAAAAACGTCCGCGCTTGCGCGGAAAAAAATTTTGGGCCCCTAAAATCCAAAAGTGGGCCCAAATTTTGAAATTTTGAGGCCCATTTTCTTCAAAATTTGGCCTAAAATTAACAAATAAGGCCTTAAAAGGCCCAGTAATGACCAAAAAGGCCCACTTTTTGGGGCCTGAAGGCCTTGTTTGGCCCAAAAATTTTTTTGGGCCCAATTTTTTTTTTCTGGGCCCACCCAAGGGGGGGGGGCCCGGGCCCCTGGGCCCCCCCCCCTAATCCGCCAGTGATACTTACATTGAAATGGGAGTTATTCTTGAAGTATCACTGAATGTTGACACGTGAATAATCCTTTGAAATCTGAAAGCCAAGCATAAATAATATAAACAATTATTTACAAGATGATGAGGTTTTCCAAAATGCCTTTATTTTTCTCATCAAACAATATCCACGTTACAAAAGCAGCATTGTGGGATAAAAGACAGAATTAGAGGTACTGGGTATCTCAAACTTCGTTGATTAGTTTCATTATTTTAATAAGTGGAACTGACCTCAGCAAACAAATAAAGAATCATATCCAATTAACATACTATACTTACCATTTTGATTCATACCTTCACAATCCAAGATGTCCAATGAGAGCCTTTTATAATGAAGGTAATTTGGCTGTTTGTTACTGTTGGTGTTGATCCATAATGGACAATAGAAGTATATTATACTCATAATCAATTGTGCTTCTATACGTGTGCTTAATATCAAGCTTAGAAGACACAAACCAAGGTCTGAATGTGATTCATACATAAGTTAAGGCATGTATAGGCTAGTCTATATCCAATAGACTGAATTTCCTGAGAATTCAGTCTATTGATCATTATGTCCTTCCTGTGGGGAAAAACAGGAAATTTCAGGCAAACAATTATCAATTTTAGGAAACTTCCATTCCCAAAAATAAGCATTATAACAATTCAATTAAGTAGTAAGGAACAATTAAATGCTATGAAAAGTAACACAGCATATTGTCAAATGGAAATAAAGCTAGGGGAAGTAACAAGTATGCAAATTAATTTACCCAGTCGGCCATTTTGAATGGCACTTCCTATGTAAACAAATTTTTTTCAATCCCAAATTTTACCATATGTGGGCTATAGTCTGAATATTTTCATTTCCAAATTTCAAAAAAATTTCAGACTAGAGGATATAGTCTAATATATAGGCTAGTCTCTAGGGTTTTTACTTCACAGGTTGTGTGTTGTTCCAAATTTTACCTTTTTGGTCAAAATACCTCAACATTTCACACTTATGGTAGAATGCCAAACAGATTTGCAACAGGGTACAGCACCCAGCTGGTCCAATAGTGGGGAGACCATTGTTTGAAAAATCAGAGGAGCAGATCACTCATTTACTTATTACTCTATTCACTGGCATGTAGCGATTATAGCGGTCCTGTCTTGGCTTATTGAATTGTTACGAAGTTACGTATGCGGTGCGGAAGTTAGAGAGCAAATGACCATCATTTCAATGTAATAGTTTATGCAGGAAAATTGAGATTAGGCCATTGGAGTATTTGTTTCATGCATTTGTAAAACGTTACCCACTCATAGGTCATACTTATCGTTAAACCAATAACTCAAATATATGCCCTTGTACACCGATCACCTGTTGAAATTAATACAGGCCGATTTCAACAAATGTAAACGGCGATATATTTAAAATCGTATTCAAGCATGACCACGTCCCAACTTCTTTTGTTTTCTTTACAACTAAGCTATGACTGCAGTCTATTCAGTGTTGCGTATCGAACCTTGTTTATTATAAAAATAGTGCAACAACAAGCAGAATTCACACATTTACCTTATACTTATTCTCAACTGAAGACATTGAATTTATCTCTTAGGTTTTACATTATAAATATCTTAACATGCAGAATACGAAAATAGAGGCTTAGGCCCAACTTTGTATGAATTTTATGAGAACAATCTGATTTTAGAGAAATGAAAAGAAAAATGTCCACACACTACACAAAATATTTATGGTTCCCCGGGAATACGTATGTGCTGCTTGTATATTAGAATCGTATTCCAGTTACAGAAAGAAGTACATATCATGCTAAACTATATACAACAGTTATGCACTTGGAGGTTGGAGACATAATATGTCTTCCCTTGGTCCCTCGGGAAGAAATATTGTATATCTCTCGGGATATTCCCTGTATCCAAAACCTTCAATTGCATAACCCCTATATAATGGCCAAGGGATAATCCCAATATCCTGACTATAGGATAATATGTTTATCCCATACCAATCTTGGTCATCTGGTTCACATTGTTAAATCGTGGAAATATTTTAGAATATTCATGTCCAGTTTTGTTTTCTTGGCCGTGGGCGGATTTTCATGTTCTCTCAAATAATCCCATATTTATTTTCTCGAATTTTTTATTGATAAAGTGGATGCTCTCTCCCTTTTTTAACTATCAAACAGACCCTGATTGTCTGTGTTTTCTCCATTGCCGTTTACAGTCATTCCGCGAACGTTACAAATTATGAACAAATATGCAAGCGGCGATTATGACGTAGCGGGCAGATATACTACATCTGCCCGCTTGGAGCGGGACGTAAAGCTTTATCCCATGGTTGCAAGGAGGATATAGATCGAATATCACATGATGATATATTTGATATGTGGATCAAGATATCATATTTTAGCAAACAATTTACGAACCATCGAATATCACTTTTAAACTATCGAATATCACATCTTAAATAGAGGATATCCTATGATTTATGAGTGATATGATTTTTATCCACGAATGGATATGATATCTGCACGAGTGAGCGTAGCGAGAGATTAAAATCATATCACGAGTAAATCATAGGATGTTCTTTATATTCCATAGTTAAAGTCATCATCAGAATCTTCGGGAATTAAGTGATCTAAAACGAATTTTCCAAACGATACGGCGATATTGACACTTAGCCTCGTTTTGAGTCTAAAGTAGCAAAAATCCATAAACCATGGCATACGGCGCCGCATGTCATGGCTAAAACACCGTATGCTATGGTTAAGTGAAAATTTGCCAAAAATATCATATTTTACCACTGATTTCAAAAATACCGTTTTTATTTTGACATGTTATCCTATGGATATCATGCTAACTATGGAATAATATAGGAATATCCTATGGCTCTGAAAAAATATCACTTATATCCATGAGTGGATATTGATATCTTCGCGAGTGAGCGCAGCGAATGAGTGAAGATACTGATATCCATGAGTGGATATAAGTGATATTTTTGAAAAACTATAGGATTGTCCGTTTCATCCCATTGGGAATTATTATCCAGCGAACATTGAATAGTCAGATAAATTGCAATGGAAATTCCATTTCGTCTGACATTTTGATTGCGATAATTCAACGAACGTCATATACGTGACGTAACAGAGTGGTTTGTATTTAATGCGAACGCCGTAAAAACAGGATCCCAAAAAATAAAAATATATAATAAATATATAATTCAATTCAATTCAATTCAATTTATTTCATATTTCTTATATAATATACACTATAAAAACAAGCCGCTAGACACCCTAGTGGGTATATGTTGCGGTCTAACAGAAATCATTTAAATGACATCTAGACTACATATAAAAGAAAACACTTATATTATGTTACATGTAGGTATATAAAAATGGTATTAACAATTAATCTAAGGATGTACAATGTAAAAATGTTACAAAAATCAGGTATCAGTATAAAATCAACAGTATAGTATGATATTGGTATTATACATTATCGATAGATGAGTAGTTTTTTATATGAAGATTTGAAAATATTTAGAGTGGAGCATTTTTTAATATCATGTGGTAGAGCATTCCAAAGATTAGGACCTAGATAGCGAAGGGAAAGTTTAGAGCATTTAGGGATATGAAAATAATGCAATTGTCTTGTGTAATGATGATGAATATATATGTTGATATCAAACAAGTCTTGAAATAGATTTTTTGGAAGACTGGGGTGCTTATTAAAGATTTTGTACATGAACTGACCAGTACAATATCTGTTGACATCAAAAATATTTAATATGTTAAGATCTTCAAATAAGGGAGAGGAGTGAGAAAGTCTATCCTTATTTAAAGCTAGCCTTAAGAATTGTTTCTGCAGTTTATGTAGACGATCATAAAATGATTTAAATGTGTTACCCCAGATTATGTTGCAATAATTTAATTGAGAGTGTATCAATGAGTAGTAAATTGTTTTGAAACTGACTATTTGAAGTAGATGTTTAATGTGATAAAGAGAACCAATGACGCGAGAAATCTTTGTTTCAATAGATTTTATGTGCTCTTTAAATTTCAAGTTTTTATCAATAATAATTCCAAGAAAGTCAATTTTATCCCGGAAATTTATGTTCTCATTGCTTATTTTGAGATTCAGATTTGTTTGATTTTTTTGGGGTCCAAATAGAATAGCATTGGTTTTGCCAATATTAAGTGAAAGTTTGTTTGCTTTTATCCAGTCATCTATTGAATTCAAGTTTGCATTAGTTCATTTAAATCATAATCACTATCAAGAAGATTGGTGTCATCAGCAAACATAATAAATTTTAGATTAGGGTCAACAAAAGGCAGATCATTTATGTAAAGAATAAATAATAGTGGTCCAAGCACCGAGCCCTGCGGAACACCACAATTTAGAGATGATTGTTTAGATTCATAATTGTTAATGGTGACATATTGTTTGCGGTCTTTTAAATAACTTTCAAACCAGGACTTAGCTATTCCTCTGATGCCATAATATTCAAGTTTTTGTATCAAAATGTCATGATTAATAGTGTCAAAGGCCTTGGAAAAATCTAATGTTATGCCAATGCTCGTTTTCCCCAAATCAGTTGATTTTCGAATTTGTTCAATGAAATATAAAATGGCCATGTAGGTCGAATTTCTGAAATCCAAATTGATAAGTAAAAATAATTTCAAAACGTTCTAAAAAACCAGTGAGTTTGGCGTGCATGAGCTTTTCTAACAATTTAGAAAATACCGATAAAACTGAAATTGGTCTATAGTTCGAAGGATTTGTAGTGACTCCTTTTTTAAATACAGGTGTTACTTTGGCCAATTTGAGGGCGTCTGGGAAAATACCAGATTTAAAAGATAAGTTAAATATATACAAGAGCGGATCAATTAAAAACTGTCTTACAGACTTAATAAGTGATGGTAGAATCCCATCAGGTCCAGGCGAGGAAGATTTTAGAAGACATATTTCTAATTCAAGCTCAATTTTTGAGGTCTTTTTGAGATAAATAGATGATTGAACTTTTTGAGCTCTTGCTAGGTATTCATAAACAATCATTTTGCTGAATTAATAAAAAAAATTGAAAAAATCAAAACCATCGAATATCACTTTTGAAACCATCGAATATCAATTTGAAACCATCGAATATTACCTTTCAAAAAGTGATATTCGATGGTTTCAAAAGTGATATTCGATGATTTGGGAATTGTTTGCTAAAATATATCTTCATCCACGTATCAATTATATCTTCACGTGATATTCGATCTATATCCTTGTAACCATGGGATAAATAAGGGTTATGTACTGGGAGTTTTGGATACGGGGTTTTTCCAGAGGGAGATATGCATATCTACCTGAGGGACCGTAGGGACAGAAAGTAGATGTGCATATCTCACAAGGGA